AATGTTAGTCAAAGTCGATGCAGGTTTTTTACTTTTAACTATGTTATCATCATCAGGAGCATAGATTCGAAGCATATTATATTGGTCAGATCGTTGGTTTTTTCGTTTGTCAGCAAGCGATTTTCGTTCAAACTCTAACATTTTCTTCGGATTTGATTGTTTGGGTTTTTTTTTAAAATTATCAATCGATTCAATTATTTTTTCATTGCTACCATCGTATTTTCTATTAAAATCTAAATGTTTTTCCAGTTTAATTGTGGCAGCTTTCTCCCCCATATTCTCTACATCAATCTTCATACCACTTTCTTCCAGTTTATCATCATCAAAATCATTTAATTTTTTCTTCTCTGTCTTCAGTTGATTTGTTGTATCGATTAATTTATTGATGGAAGCGGTTATCGGTACATACTTTGCCTCTAATTCTTTCTTTTTTAATATTCGTTGTCTGTTCAATTTACGAAATTTGTCTGCTATCACCTGTCGCGTGTGTACAAGCGAAGATTTTAATTTTTGCTCCTTCGTCGGCATCGTTTTCACTCTTCGATGGATGAAACAATACTGAATCAAGGTGCATTGAAATTCGGTAATTTATGCAATCGTGAGGTAGCTTGAAAAGCCTTTCCTATAGCGACCTCTATTGACATCACTATCCAAATCGATTACCGCAAATCCATACTTTTCTCTCCAACATTCCAAGCAAAACTGTCGAAATTCTTCAAATTTCATATCACACGCAACACCCATATCATTATACACATGTCTCAAATTCATATCGTTTTGCCGAAACAGAATTAGAAAATTGCAGTTGTCTCGTATCAGATGCTTGCTAACTCTTGCATACGTTTGAGTTAGATAAAAGCAATCGATGTTGCGATGCCTTCCAAGACAATAATATTTTTTTATATTCTCCTGGTTTCGCTCGCATATTACATCATCGAAAATTATGATCGAATTCTTTTTAGCATCATTTGGCGCAATAACCTTCTCCGATGATGAGAACGTATAGAATCCAATATTTTTCAACGGTGCGAAAAGTTTTCTCAAATATTTATATTTGTCTTGTTCCAATGATTTTGAATAAATGTATATATTTTCGAATTTTAACCCATGTTCACTTTCAATCATGCTGATTAGCAAATTTGTTTTCCCACAATTAGAGGGTCCAGCTATAATGCATCGTATTGAATTTGGTAGTAAAATACTATGTCTTTTCGATATCATGTTTATAGATGTGGTAGACTCATCCACATTTCGAATCGGAATATTGATTACTTGTGTCGTAAAACGCATGCTGACTACAACTGAACACAAAAACAAGTAGATCTTACGTTTTATATTCAGTTTAACTTCAACTGGTAACGAGTGCACATCGCAAAAAGTGATTTTCAAATGTTGATATTTGAAACAAAACAAAGTAAAAAAAGAAAGACATCAAGAGGTTCATTGAAATCAAAAAATCAACGGTTCAAAAAATTTAATAAAAAGAAAAGAACAAAGCGTGGTCGTGGATTCATCGACAGACTCATCGATAAAATTCCATTCGAATTACATATTCCGAGTTACCAGTACGCCGGACCGGGGACAAAATTAAAAAAACGAATGGAGCGTGGTGATCAAGGAATAAATCCATTGGACGCTGCTTGTAAAGAGCACGACATAGCATACGATAAGAATCACGAATCTTCTGAACGAGCAGTTGCTGACAAAATTTTACAAAACGTAGCTATGAAGCGTGTTATTTCAAAGGACGCATCTTTGGGCGAAAGAGCCGCCGCGCTAGGAGTGGCGGCTGCAATGAAAGCCAAACGAATAATAAGTGGTCAAGGCATCGGTAGAAAAGATATAAAAATGTGTGGTAAAAAGCCGTGCAGTAAGAAGAAGGAGAAGAAAAAGAATGAAATAACATTTGCCTCTTTGATTAAAAATGCCAAAGTCGCTATAAAACGTGAAAGACCAGACACTGTTGATTCTGCCATCAAAATTGCAGTGCGTAGCATCAAAAAGACTAAAGATGGAAATGAAATCAAAGCACCACGAACAATTAAAATGCCTCCAATATCTGGCGGTATTTTGCCATTGATTCCAATTTTTGCTGGACTTGGTGCACTTGGTTCAATTGTTGGCTCTACTGCTGGCGTTGTAAATGCCATAAATCAAGCAAAAAAGGCACAAGAAGAATTATCTGAGAGCAAACGACACAACACCAAGATGGAAGCCATCGCCATTGGAAAGAAAAAAAGTGGAAAAGGATTTTATTTGCGGTCGAACAAGAATGGGAATGGATTTTATTTAGCACCATATTCAAAAAACCGTTAGACTCGCTACCTAATCGTGCGCTGACAGATTCCGATATCAGTGATTTCATTGCAAAAGCAAAAATTAAGCATTTTAGAGGTGTTTATATGCGTGATAATTTACCTAATAAAAGACCATGGAAGAATGAATGCATGATAATCAATCATGATTCTATGAATCATAGTGGAACACATTGGTCATGCTTTGTTAAAAAAAATAAAAATGTATATTATTTCGATTCTTTCGGTAAATTGTCACCACCATTGGAACTAGTTGAATATTTAGGTAGCGATTGCAACATTTATTTCAATTCTGATCGATATCAAAACTTTGGTACCATAATATGCGGCCATTTATGTTTGAAATTTTTGTATTACTTTTATAATGAAAATTGAATAAAATGAGAGAAAAAATATCAAACAATTTCCAATTTTTTTTACCCCACCTCTTTTGTCAGCTCACACATTTTTTCATTTCTCCTTCTTTCTGATATAAATTGAAAGTAATAAAGCATTTTTTAAGTTAGTATTCTGAAGTCTACGATGTCGTCAATAACGCTTACGCTATGTGGAAAGAGCTCTCGATTGCGATCAACATTTCATCCTGAAATTGAATTGGATGAACGATGTAGCTATTCGTGTTGCCTGCTCGATTTATACACATACAATTCAATTCCAAATATAGATGAAAAAAACAACAAATTTCATTTTTCGATTGGAAAGGAGGGTCCTATGCAAGTCATTTCATTACCAAAAGGATCGTATGAACTCAATGATATCGGTGATTACTTGAGAAGGGAATTGAGCAAGGAAGAAATACTATTCTTTTTCAATGCAAATGAAAAAACCATGAGATTTTACATCGAATGTTCTAATATTTTTATTGATTTTTCTCAACCGAATTCGATTGGATCGGTACTTGGATTCAGTAAAAAAGTGTTTGATGCGACTAATCTTCATTCAGATTTGCTTGTGAATATACAACGTGTTAATAGCATTCGAATTGATTGTGATTTAACAACAGGATCATATCACAATGGGGAATGCACACATACAATATATGAGTTTAGCCCAAAGGTTGCACCTGGATATCGAATTATGGAACAACCGAAACATTTGATTTATCTTCCAATCATCAAACATAGAATAAATGAATTAAATATTTCGATTATTGATCAAGATGGACATTTTATTGATTTTCGTGATGAACAAATTACATGTCGCATACATATAAAGAGAGATCAGTGAGTGGTTGTGGATATACACACACAATCGGCATCGAATTGAGTCAGTTGTTATTTGACGTACGTTGAATAAACACGTATTTTTTTTTGTACGAGTACGTAAGCAAAGAAAAATGTTACTCTATCATCAAGAAGACTATAAGAGCAACAATTTTTCGAGAAAGTCTACCATTGTGAATCGAACCTTGAAGCAGAGCACACGATCCAAGCGGAAGGTTCTGAGTGTTAAAAATAGAAATTTTTTGAAAAGTATCGGTTTGCGCTTGAAAGTGAATAACAATAAGAAGAAAAATTAAAAAAAAACAAAGATGGCGAACAATATTTTGAGTATAAAGAACTCAATCGTTGATGAAAATGATGTAATAAGTCAACAGTTTCATACGTACACTCCTTACACAACTTCCTTCAATAACAACGATGAAGTGAGAATTACAATACAATCGCAGGATTTAATCACTCTGCCATCTCAGAGCTACATATATATGGAGTTTTCATGCGCAAGAACTGACAATGAATTGTTTGCTAACAATCAAGCTGTATTTTCATACAATTTTACTTCACACATGTTTAGCGAAATGCGATATGAATTGAATGGTATTGAAATTGATCGTAACAAATTGCCCGGCATCACATCTATAATGAAATGCGTGGTCGCATGTAAATCAGAGGATCATTATTTATATGAATTGTTTAATGATAAAGGAGATAAGTCGATTACCACTGGAACATATCGCATGATGATTCCACTTCGTTTCATATTCGGATTCTGCGATGATTTCCGAAAAGTTATATTGAACTGCAAACATGAATTAATTTTGGTACGAAATAGATCAAATATATGTGTATATCAATCAAATGCTGACATATTGACATTGACAATCAATAAAATTCAATGGAAAGTGCCACATGTATCGCTTAGCGATCAAGCAAAATTATCTATGCTTAAAACGATATCACGAAACGAAAACCTCTATATTCCGTACCGTTCGTGGGATTTATATGAGTTACCAGCTTTGCCAACAACAAATCGCCACACCTGGAGCGTGAAAACAACGAGTCAAGTTAGAAAACCTCGTTATGTCATTGTGGCATTTCAAACAAATCGCAGCACCATTGTGAATGATTCGTCAGCTTTTGATACCTGCAACATATCGAATGTAAAATTATATTTGAATAATGAACGCTATCCATACGACGACCTAAATTTACAATTCACTGCAGATCATTTCTCTGAATTATTTCACATGGTGAAAACTATACAATGTACATATTACAATGAAGTTTCATTCTACAATCCAACCGAATATAATCTGGATAACTTTACGAAAAAACCAATGTTTGCTTTCGATTGCACGAAATCAGATGAGAGTGTGAAAACTGGAATGGTTGACGTTCGCTTGGAATTAGAGGCCAGAGAAAATTTCCCAGCTTTAACTACAGCATATTGCCTGATCATTCATGACAATTTAGTCCGATACTCACCTTTCAGCAGTATAGTTCATCGTGAAATCTAAGCTATATAAGAAAAGTGAAAAAATGAGCAAACGTGATTTAGTGAACGAATTACACCGCAGTGCTCGCAGAAATTTCATGCGGCGAAAAA